ATTCTTTAATGTTTTATATATATATATAAAATATATAAGCACACATATATATACTTAGTGAATGAATATGTATATGTATATATGTATATACATACATATAATTACCTGGTTATTAGCTAAAGCATATAATAAACAAAGTGCAAATAAGGCAGCATAGTCATTTTCTATGCATAATAAGGAATTTATTATTGTTTCTAGAAATGGTTTTTTTGCTAAAGATTCATGTATATCATTCTGACTTTGTTGAGGTATTAAAGGACTCTCTAATGCCAATCGTTGCTCTTTCTCCTCATCTGTCACATTTAATTGCTTCATTTCTTCTAAATTCTCTTCACTTGAAATGCTTGTATCCGCTGATGTACTCACTAAAGTAGGACTATTTATTGAGTTTGAAACGTCACTAAAAGATGTACTTGGTTGATTAAATTCTTGTGATTTGTCAATTGTGTTTTTAACTATTTCGTTTATATGTTTTATATTTTTTTCTTGATTATAAAATTCTTCAGCTGTTGAGTGAGTTTCATTTAAATTTTCCAAAGATTTATCCAATGTTTCTTTTGGTGGCGAAAAAATGACAGACTTATTTGATATTATATCTCCAAATTTTTCAAGAACTCTATTTGTTCCAATTTGGATCATCTCTAAATCAGACATGAGCATTACAGCTGCTAATGTATGTACAAGAGGTTCATGCGATACTATTAAAAAGACTTGAGAAAGTAGAAAAAGTGCTACCACAACACTAACATGTTTTCTCTCATCCTAAAAATTAAAGTTACTTATTATTAAAAAAATAAATTATTAACAATATTATATCGTCTCAAAATTTATGCATATAGAAAATGTGTATGATTGAAATGGGTATGATTTTCTGTGTCAGAAAAAGTAACTTTCTCTTAAGAAAAATTACGTTCATGCAGTAATTTTTAAATAAAAGCAATTTAAAATTAACATGTTCCAAGTTTATGCATTAAGACCAATGTACATTATTTTTTTGCTATTTCTCTAAAAAATTTATGAAAATTACGATATTTTTAAATATCATTATTTTGAATATAATTTATTTAAAAAAGTTTTCCAATATTATTTTTTGTGGATGAGATTTTTGCTATAATTGATATTGATTTTTGATATAAACACATTTATATCTAATTTACTTTTAACTGTTGCTTAAAAAAAGATCAGATAACAACTCGGAGTAGCAATATTTAGATATGCATAACTATTATAAAATTTTTAGAAAAAAATAAAACAACTATATCTCTAACTCTTGATTTATCTGTAACTTAAAATATTTATTTGTCAGTTTTAAATAATACTCATTTAAAAACTATTTGAACGGAATTTTATCACAAAAAAATGTTGATTCTTCTGTCAAAGTAAATCTGTCCAAGTTTTAACTTATAAATCAAATGTTTCCACCTGTCCATTGTCTTTTAGAATAAGATAGAGAAGGAAAGAAAAGACACTTTGCTCTATTAGTTATGATACATAAATCAAGGCGCTAATATCTATCTTTTTCTATTTCTTTTTTCATTTCAGTCTACGAAACAATAGAAAGATGGAAATATTTGACTCATAAACTAAAATTTGAATAGGCTTACTCGAGAGCATCACATAAAAAACATTCTATATTTATATAACTTCAAAACATTCTATATATTGCTTATTTCTATCATAAAAAATAATGAAAATTCAATTCCTACCTGAGTTTGGCACAAAACATTTTTGTGTTTCATCAGAGAATAGACATACAATGGAACTAATAATTTATGTAATAAATGTTCCGATAGAACTTTATTCAAGTCTGATATATTCAAACACAAAATATCGTTTAAATAATGCAAATGATCCAAATGTTCGGCAACTAAATCTGATAATCTATTTTGACTCTGATGACTAGAACAGAATACATTTTATTAATAACAGAATAACAGAATAACAGAAAAAAAAGAGACTTTAATATTGATACTTACTCAGCATCAGTCCGGACGCAGATATCTAACTCTATAATATGATCACCAATAAACCACACGAGATTACTAAAATACGGTGCAGCTGTGCGATCTCTTATAAAAGCTAACATAGATGCATCTTCAACACGATACACATTTAGCGTCAGAGTTCTCACTGCTATACGTACCATACCTTCTGAATGATTGAAAAATTTGATTGCTTCTGTGTATAGTGGAAAATCATTGGTGTGCTGATAACAGAAGAAATTTATCATAATTCTCTCAATGAATAAATAACTTCAATATAATCAGACCTACATTTTATGTATCTTATTATAAAAGCCATATTCTAATTATAATCAAACACAGAAGACAAACACAGAATATTATTTGTATACCTCGTTTACCTCGTTATAAAAGAAATGAATGGTATGTGCATTTAATTTCAAACTTAATGTCTTCAAGAAACTAATATAATATGCCATTACTTCTTCATCACTAAAGTCAAATTTGTGTACTATTATACTGTTTACATGATTGTTGCTCAATAGATAATCTAAAGATAAAAAATAAATTAATCATTAAAGATTATTATTATTTAATAAAAAAGAAATATTTCTATAAGACTCACATAAGGATGTCTCATTGCGTATATTTTCAAATAAAATATTTAATGTTTGAAGCAATTGAACACAAACATAGCTTCCACATTTCTGTTTCATAATACGTAGAAAAAACGAAAGCATGTTCTTCTCCAGAAAAAAGCTGTGAACATATTATATACTTTATTAATCATATATTTTTATATTAAGTATTAATTTTGATTTAATTCTAGAATATCATTTATTAATAAGAATCAAAGAATAAAACTGTTACTATATTCTACTTACTCAAAGACACTGCTATCATTTTGATCACCCCATATGAGAATCTCAGCTATCGAACGCAGAGTTTCAACCAATAAACCTCTATTATGCTCAGACACAGTCTGATTCTTTGACAAGACATTGTACAGATATCTAAAGACAACATAAATAAATATATAAATATATCTATATCTTGTCAATAATCTTGTTATATAATGATGATATCAGTCAATATTTATATTCACTTAAGATGTTCTGGAGAATGTGGGTTTTTGGGCTTCCAAAGTCCACCACCGAACCAGCTCCGACTGCGAAACATTTTCAATTATCTCAAGCAAGGGACGTGCCTGTATTCGATTCCATTCAATTTTTACTTCCTGATAGTAAATGCTTTTTTCTCACATGACAAAATTAACAGTCGTCAAAATTAACAGTTTCATCGAGTTTGTACTCATATAAATTAGCAGATATGCTAATAAACAGATAACTAGTATGAGTATAGCGATCCTTACATTTTATTGCTTAGAGTCAAGATTTTTTTTTACAGAGTTCTTGTTTGCCTATATGCACGTTAAACTCTCAATCAACCATTGTTTTAAACTCAATAATATATTAATTTTATTCCTCCGGTAAAATCATTTACAGATATTAAATTTTATATGATATAAATCAGAGTTCAGCTTGATACAATTTCTTTTTTAGAAGTCATGACTGATAAGTGGAGTTACTAATGTCAGACATTAGGTTGGGTTAGTACATCGATATATCATAGTATACCATCATATATATCTATATACACACATCACATATACTATATATTATATAGAGATAGGACCTAAAGCCATATCCTAAAAAAAAAAAAAAAATTTAAGCCGGCGGCACACGCTGCTTTCTCGGCTGCTAGATTTCTTGCTGAATTTGCATTCTTAGGCTGCCTTCCCATGCAACGTAACTTGCATAACTTGCATATCTTGCGTCAACCAATCAAATCATCTAATAAAAGTCTAGGCGGATTTGTATAGAATAGCTGAGACGATTTGATTGGATGACACAGGTTATGCTTACGGAAGTTACACCGCATGGGAAACCAACTGATCTGTATTTGCATCTGTCACGTGTAGTAATTTTCATTTATTCTGCTTAATTGTTCCATTTGTAATTGTTCCACTTTCTTGATTTATTATAATGATAAAGCGTTATCAACAATTGATTAAAATAATCAGCGAACAATTAAAAAGAAGTGGAATGTATAACGCAAAGGGAATTGCGGAAAATGTCGCAGAAGAAGTGCAGAGTAAGTTTACCAATGCACAGAATATCGCGACCAAACAATATAATATCGTTGCAAAAGTAAGTAGTAAATATATAATATAAATGTATTTTTATTTTGTTCAGTCACCTTTTCTGCATAGCGAGACACGTATATGTACACACACACACACACACACACACACACACACACACACACACACACACACACACACACACACACACACACACACACACACACACACACACACACACTACACACA